TGTACCTACTGAGAAGCAACAGTGAATATTTCTATTCCTTTCAACAAATTTCTTAGGGATTATTCGAGATCCAGGTTATAAACTGCTCGAATAGTTTATACGTGATGCGCGAACGGCGGTAGACCTCATTAATTTAGTTTAGACAGATAGATAGATATTAACGTATACACAAATGCGATCATGAAACTTCGATGGTTAACAGGAGTACGGGCTGTGTCAGGAGCGGCAAAGAGCTATTCTCATTGCAAACGCCACCCTCCAGAACCGATATAGAAAGTCCGGTTTAAAATAATCCAATTGTAACGACGGAGGAATGCGCAGTACACCCCGCAACGGTATTTCCATAAAGCCAGTAACGTATCGGCGCTCGGCAAACGTTCCGAATAAATACTGACCAGTAATCAAATACTAGAATGGACATGATAGCGGTCGTTCCAGAAGGGGGCGCGCGGAATTCTTGGCGGCAACTCAAACAAAGGAAACTAGGAATACTCCATTCCCCTGTTGCATCTCTCAGCGCTATAATGCCCCAATAATTTAGGACCGGATTGTTCCACGAGCCGCTGATGAAACATTCACGGAACGTAGTAACCTAATTTCTAATTCTGTTCAATCTAAGAAAAGCGATAGCGAATACCGCACTCTCAACTATTGACCACTGCACTCGCACTGTCCATAGATGTTATTATAAGGTAAGGCAACATATCTGCAACCCTACGAGGGGCGGTTATCACTTAACATCAGGTGACCCGTTCTACTACCTTCTCACATAAAAAAATACTTTATTGTTACTATTGTTTTATTTTATTTTTATATATTTTCGGGAAACTTACAGCTAGAACAGTTATTGTGTGATCAATTAATTTAACAAAACTATGGCCATTTAAAAGCTCTTAATATAGAGTTAAATAATGATTTATATGTTTATAATAGGTAAAGTAAGTAAAAAGTAATTTAAAAGTAAAGTATCAGCCTATAAATGTCCCACTGCTGGGTCCTGGGGTCAAAGGCCTCCTCTGTACAGAGGGTATCAAGGCATAGTCCACCACGCGGCCCCACTGCAGATTGGCGGACTTTACAAATCTTCGAAAAATACTTTTTTGTTATTATTTCGAAAATGTGCAGGTTTCTTCACGATGTTTTCCTTCACCGCTGAGCACGTGATATTTCAGCACTTAAAATTGACAATTTCATTGGTGCTGGCACCGGGGATCGAACTCAGGTTGCTAGAGTATATTAAATTAAAGGCGAGTGCCTGGACACTGAACTACCACGGCTCTCCTACCCACTAATTTGCATTCCTAATTTATTGTTTTATTTTGTCCATATTTTAATACTAAATAAAAACAAATTAATGACTGAAACAAATCGCTACTCTACCTCCTTAATCGTCCTTCGTTGCCGTTCCACAAACAGGCGCGTCCGGATAAGAAATAAGACTTCATAGAAGGCTAGCTTATAAAGGTTGCCAAGACATCTGCAAATCTGGTTTAAATATCTCTGCTGCAGTAATATTTAGCATCCAGTGAACCACGTAACTAACGAGCAACCATTAAGTCTAATGCGAATGCTTCTGCGGTGGTGACAATTAAGCAGCAAGGACTAAGCCCCTCGGTAAATGGTGTAAAAATATTTAATTGGTTAGGTTAACGCGATACAGAATGCAGAATTGGTTAGTCTTTGTTTTGTATCAAGTACATATTTCTTCACACGGAGAGCCCTTACTTCCAGTCAAGCTTGTACACTCTTGGATCTTGATGAGGGATATCCCAGTACCTACTGTACTAATAATATATATAACAAAACTAAAGTAAAATCCTTGCCCAGGGCATTAGCACATCCAGAACTCAACCCCACTGCGGATCGGCGGATTTGACTAATCTCAATTTTTTTTCGCGCTGGGACACGCAATTAGGGCTATACAGGGCGGCTTTTCTAAAGGTGCCCAAATTCACACAGAAGGTTCAGACTCTGTAGTATAGTCGTTTATATATTTTTTTTAATCTTTATTGATCTGATATTTACAAAATTAAATCTATCTAAAATTACATATTATCTAATAAACCTATTCCACGCGGCATGGTTCCAAGAACGCTAGCTGCATTTCCTCGCTGAATAGTTATGCTTAACCTTTGAGCCAGAAAAGAACCAGCTCTGAAATTGAAATAAAAACAAACTTTTTTTTCCAAAAGAATTGTCATTCTATTCCCTAAAAAACAGAACTTGTTGACAATGCGGTAGTCATTCATAAATGCGTCGTATACTTTTGAAACGAACTTCTGTGCTTGTTAGTTATGAATGATCGCGCGTAAAATAAATGAGTTGCCCATAAATCACGCACTTTTTGAGATAAGTTCAAATGAATGTAATTAATTAATTACGAGTGATTTTAAATATTTATCATTTTTATATAACATAAATTATGTCTAGAATTTAATTAAAAAAATGGATACACTTAAGTTCGGTCGTTAGTAAATAATAAATTAAACAATCGTCAAAACAGGAACTTCCTTTATTCCCTTTGGATTTTATCAAGGTTCAATTACAGACTCATTACATAGTTATTAAGCAACAGGTACAGAGCCACAGCAATATGTCGACATGTATTAAAACCTTACAATGTCTTGAATTTTTTATCTGTCTAGATATAACCTTAATTATGGCAGTTAGGTTTGTTAAGGCGGGAATCCATTCAACCTATGTAAACATTAGACAAAAGAAATATGTTAGTTAGAGTAACTCCTTTAAGGAAGACCAAACATTTTATGTAAACAACAAATTGTAATCTGCTGAATAAGGATGATATAAAAAAGTTTTTTAACCTATTGTTTTGTGACAGTGTCCAAAAAATATAAAACAGCTGTAACACACTTGATAGCATCATAGCAATAAATGTGTGAAAAAAATATGCAACACCAATAACAATATATACATTTGTTATAAGCATTGTTACAAAGTATTGTTATTTTGGTAGATTTACGGGATACGGGATTTGCTGAAAAAAAAAATCAAACATTCTCATTTCTGATCATCAATGACAGATGAGATACTTTTGCATTTTTTTTAAATGGAGATATGTAAATACATGTATTTTTTTACACAAAGTGTATACTAGTATACATTTTAGTGGCTTAACACCCGGTTTCTAAAACACTGATCATCGTGGATGTGAACTAATCATATGTCAAATGGCTTTTCAAATTCCTTTTAGTTGCCAAAAGGATGGTTGAACTCATTGAATTGATCATTCTTATCATTAAGAATATCAGAGACTTTAACAATCTTTTTGGCAACTCAAATAACATTTGAAAATCCATTTGACAGCTGACTATGATCAGTGTTTCAGAAACCGGGCGTAAGTGTTCAATATTTGACAAAAAATTCTTTTTTTAGAACTGCTCACATGAAACTTAAAAAAGTACGACTCGACAAGAACAGACTAAAAAAACTATCAAGTTTTATACTTTTCTGTTAAAATCACAGTAATTTGTAATAACCAACGAAATAAAAACGTTACACGGCGATATTTCCGTGTGATATTTTTTGCTGTGACATGTAATAGGATTAAAAAAAGAGGAAATAACTGAAATAATAAGAATGGAAATAAGTATAAGATAACAAATACACCTTCGCCTCAACTATCTACCATATCAATAATAAACCTACACCTAAAACTAGGTCTGCGGTGGATATCTTTAGTTAATTTATATCATACAAATATTTATACCATACAAAAAACATATAAACATCTCACTATGGGTTAAAAGTTGATCGCTTCACAATAAAGCACATTCATTCGTACCTATTAGCGCATACAAAATTAAGTATTTGTACCACTCACAGAAAGTAATATTTAAACGCTCTAATCACACTCAAGTTGGCAATGCAATATAAGTTTCTTACGAGTCTTACGGTGACTAAATATTCATACAACCCTACGCTTACATTGTCCACATGGAAAGTTGCTAGATGCTGCAACATTGTCAGCGTCCAAACACTTATTTACATAACTGTTATCAACATAAAAACTACTATATATACATAATTATTATTTACTCATTACATGTGTTGTTCAGTTCGTTTTGGCACCAGCCTGAGTAAAATCTATATATATTTTACTAAAGAATTAAAAACTATTCGCTCATTGGTATGGAGCATGGTACACAAATTCTCATCTCATTGGTCTGTTCCCTTTACACAAAGCGCTGTGATATAAATAACTCCCTAAGATATACCTGTAGCAAAAAAATAATTTTTCTTAACAAAAAATACACCCAACTTCAAATATCTCACTGACATATCCCAATCCCAAGGACCAATAACAATAAAATTATTAGGGACCTAATGGGACCTAAATAGGACTCAATTCAAAAAACAAAATTAAAAAAAATACTACAGAATTGTGAACTCCTCTATTTTTGAAGGCGGTTGAAAATATGACAAATATAATTAAACACAGATGACTATCACCATACATGGAATGAAATAATATAAACACCTAGTCTCATGTCTAATTGGTGTATGTATTGATTAGTTTTGGACCTATCGGGAGTCCTCCATCAGGGTGAGTGGGATCCATCTTGTACTGAGAGAATGGACACATGCACCGCTGGGATGTGAGATTAGCTGTTTAAATTATTTGGTTAATAATGTCTCACTGAAGTTTTAATCATTAAAGTGAATATGAAAAGTTTATATTGTGTGCTCAGCGCTTATTACTAGACTTATTGCTAAAAAAACTCGCACCATCTTTGTGTTCCTAAAGGAAAATTAAAACATGCTTTTCTGAATCAACTTTTCCTTTCAAATATTTCAGTAACCAAGTCGCATATTGTAAACACCTACTCATTCTAACAATTTTCTGATATGGAATAAGACAAATACTTAAATATACAATATCAAACCGTCATTTATACCAGCACCCTTCTTTATTAGCTGATACCAGCTTGCCCATGTCAGCCTCAAGGTTGTAAGAGTAAAGCGGTGAGTGGTTTACCTCACACGGCCGTTATGTTGTATAAGGCGCTGAGGCGCTCTAGGAATCCGGAGTCGTTGGGGTCGGCGGAGTGGGGGACGTGCGCGGAATGGGGGGCGTGGGGTGCGGGGTGGGGGGCGGAGTGGGGGGCGTCCCTCCGATCGTCGTCGGGGGGCCAGGCCGCGCGCGCCATCGGCCTCAGCACGCCCAGCTCCCTCTCGCCCTCCTTACACACCTCCGTGTACTTCTCGTAGTCCGTTTGCCGCGTGTCGAACGCGTACTCGTCATCGTCCTTGAACTGCTGCCCCTCCCTGGGGGGCGCCACTGTCACGTTGGGGGCGCCCCTCCGCACGGGGGGCTTCCGCGACTTCTGCGGCTGCTTCTTGTCTAGGATGCTGCGCAGGATCGGCAGCCGTCCGGTGGCAGCCTTCTTGCCGGGCCTGGTCTCTTCCTGGGCCTTGCTCTCCGCCGCCTTCGGCTGGCTCTTCTTCTCCTTTGCCTCTTTGGCCTTCGGCTTGGCGTCTTCCAACCTGACCCGCACCTTCTCGTGGACGAGCATGTGCCGGCGCAGGTCGTACGCGACCCGGAAACACTTTTCGCACTGCGGACACTTGTAAGGTTTGCTGCCTGCGAGCAGAAAATGTGCGATAAATATTTGTCATGATAAATAAGTAAATAACAAGTAATTTCGGTCCAAGCCTTATGCGGAATTCCCAATTTATGCGATAAAACGAATCGATCTTGTCGCAGCGCGTTAAGGGCGAATGAAGGCTTGTTTTAAGCTCACCCGTGTGCGTGCGCATGTGGCTGAGGCGGTAGGAGGAGGCGCGGAAGGACTTGGAGCAATAGTCGCACTTGTAGTTCCGTTCGCCGGTGTGGATGCGCCGGTGGATGTTCAGCGAGTATCTGCGCGCGAACTCCTTGTTGCAGAACTCGCATTTGAAGTTCTTCTGCAGAGACAAGAGATTTTGACAAGCCAGTATTGTTTGTATAATATGAAAAGAAAAAGATCACCTCCTTAAAACGTGCCCCACATGCACCATAAGAGCACCTGGTCCGAGTGGATGGAGGCCTTGTGGTACTTGAGGTCGCTCCACTGGCGGAAGGAGCGGCCGCACTGGTCGCACGCGCACGGCCTGTCGCCGCTGTGCACGCGCCGGTGGATCTTGAGCGCCGCCGCCGTGTAGAAGCCCTTGCCGCACTCCTTGCACGGGTGCTGCTTCTCGCCGTGCATCAGCATGTGGTACAGCAGGCTGTTGCGGTGCTGGAACACGCGCGCGCACAGCGGGCACTCGAACCGCTTCGGCGGCTTCTTCTTGCCCCCGCCCGCGCCCCCGCCGCCGCCCCCGCCCTCGCCCTCGCCCCCACCGTCGCCCTCGAGTATCCTCTGCAGCACCTCCTCTGCGGCAGTGTCAACCGGAACAGCATAATGCATTGCCTCTACAAATTCTTTTAGCGTCCAACAAGATGACACATTTATAGTCATCAACATGTGAATCATGTAAGCGGTTTACGACCGGCCTCACGTCAATCCACCTTGAGAAAAGAACATACATAGAGTATTATTCTTAATATCTAACACATATGTATGTAAAAATTATTAAGCTTCATTTATCCGGCTCCAAGGACCGATAAAAGATTAGCGCCAAACATTAACTCTTCTCTCAAAGGGAATCGTCGTTAATTCCTAATCTAATAGGGTGTGCGTACCTTTGAGATGTAGCGGCGAGTGGGCGGCGTGTTGCGGTAAGGATGCGGGCGCGGACACGGGCGGCAGCGGGGCGGGCGCCGGAGCGGGGGCGGGCACGGAGGCGGGCGCGGGCACGGGCACGGCGGCGGGGGCGGGGAGCGGGAGGGGGGCGGCCACGGAGATGGGCGCGGAGACGGGGACGGGGCCGGGGTGGGGGGCGGGCGCGGGCTCGGCAGAGGCGCACACGGCGCAGTAGTCGGGCGCGCCGCAGCCGCACAGCACCGCATTGCCATTGCGCAGGTACCTGAGTGGGGTACAACGATATCAGACGTTTGTATGTTGTCTTCCTACCCAACCCATTCCACACAAATCTACAGTTTCTTTCGCCTGTTTATTCTCCGTTAGAGGAACTCATTACGATACGGTGGTAGACTATCGATAGATGAAATGTATATTTCTTACTTCAATGAATAAATGATTATTTGCTACTTTAACATTTATTTTATTGTTATGATTACTTTTAAGTTGAATCCGGTCATTAAGTGACTCAATAAAATATTTGTACACCCGTTAGAGTGAACAACATGTTGAACTTCACCGTGATATTACCTTGCATTGTTTTTACAAATAAATTAATATTATTTATTATGGAAAGGCCGAAATCTTCTAGAGGAAGCCGAGCAACAGTACCAATGCCTGACGTGGTCCTGGTGAACCTGTCCGTTCTCCACGATGAGGTGGGGCAGCATCGCAGGGTCGTATGACTCCCCATCCTCGACAGCCACGTGGATGCCCTCCATCAGGTCCTCGGGCTCGCTGAACTCCCCCATGTCCTCCAGCTGTGGGAATCGTAAAGATTAAGGTACTGCGACGTCTGTTGCACCAATGGGCAGGTCCGTACGGGTAAGTACCACGAGATCACAGGAGACCGGCGTGAAGTGGAAGTGTGATACTTCTGCGTTTCGTCTGGTGAGTGAGGTAACCGGGGCCGACTTTATTGAAAGGAGGCAACGAATCTGCAATCCTACGGATGTTGCAAATATCCATGGGCATCGGTTATCACTTAACACACTTCTCACATTGAAAAGAAGCACGGACCGTAGCCTATCGACGCGGTGTAATTTTTTCAAATTGACGGAAATATAGCAGGCACATCACCTGATTGTCCAGGCGTATTAGAATTTAAACAGTATGGGCTTCTTCCACTTAACTAAATCACCGGTCAGTACACAAATGTATTTAGTTAACTGCAGAAGTTGTAATTATTTTGTTGCTTTTGTTAATGTTTTTAATGTGTCTGGAATTATAGTGGCGATAATTTAGGCACAGATTCAACACCTCATTTATTGAACTCATTTATTCAACATCTCATCTGATTTAAATGAAATTTGGAATACATGTAGGCTAGAGCCTGAGAAAGGACATAGGCTATTTTTTAATTGGATTTTTGCTAGTATAAAATATAGCCATTGGCTAGTATAAAATATAGCCAATGACTATAAATTATTAACTCTAGGAAATATATCTTATCAGTTCTTGGAGACATTGTAAACTCTAGAACACAGTTAAACCTAAACCACTCCTTAACCAGAACTTTTGTGGGGAAGTTGTTCCCAAAATCAATTGTTATCTGTACATATGCTATAGACAATGTTTAGAGGAAAGTGATAGGGTAGAAATAATTATAACTTTTATACTCTAGTGCAGTGTTCATCTTGTTTGTTGTACCACTCACTATAGGAAAAATTAATTAGCCAACGCCCTGCAGAAATTTTGCATCTGAACTTTTTTATTAAAACAGGCTGTTGTTTTTACCGATATGTATTTGTACTCCTTGAATGATTGAAATGTCTGGAAAGTGTGGCCGCAACTGTTTTTCAACATGTCGCTATACTTTCCACCGCCCACCAATTTTAATTTAGCGCCCAAAATATAATTTAGTTTCAATCGCCCCCTCAGGCAGTGTCAGCGCTCACTGGGGGGCGGTACCACCCACTTTGAGAAACATAGCTCTATAATATAATAATAATAATAATAATAATAAATAATAATAATAAAATATCTTTATTCACATAGACGCTTGCGCGTTCTTATGAAACGTCAAAATTTTACAAGAAATTAACACGTTCGTAAGTTACCACCGGTTCGTAAAACAGTTTCTGTTGAGAAGAAACCGGCAAGAAACTCAACAGTTGCTCTTTTTTAAAAAATCAGTTTACAATATAATAGTACAGGTACAATAGTCTTGTTTTAGCCTACGTGAGTATCAACAGTATAAACCCCACATATTGGCGTCGTCAAGATATTCGGCAATAGTATAATAGGCTTTAGCCATAAGTGTACTTTTAATTTTTCGTTTAAATTCATCAAGTGGCAGACTTAACATCGACTGTGGGATTTTATTATACATGCGCACACTTTGCCCCATGAACGATCTGTTTACTTTTTGTAGGCGAAATAATGGCGTAGTTAGTTTGTCCTTATTTCTAGTATTTAGTTTATGTCTGTCACTATTCTTTTGATAATTATTAATATTCTGTTTAACATACAAAATATTACAATAAATATATTGAGACGCAACAGTGAGTATATTAATCTCTTTAAAAAGATCTCTGAGTGTATTCCGGGCTCCGATGTTATAAATTGCTCGGACAGCTCTTTTTTGAATAATAAATATTGAATTTATATCAGACGCACTACCCCACAACAAAATGCCGTACGACAAGATGCTGTGAAAATAACTGTAGTAAACAAGTCTGGCAGTGTCGATGTCTGATGAGCTTAACCTATTCGCAAGAGATGATAGATGGGGACTCCATTGGAGCTTTGAATCTACCGTGATTCCCAAGAATACAGCGGACTCAACAGGATTAAGGGTTACGCTATTCAATTTTAAGCTAAAACTTTGCCTTCTTACGTTGGGAAGGGCAAAAAGAAGGCATTTAGTTTTTTTAGCATTTAACACCATATTATTAATGGTAAACCAGTGGAGGATACGCGAAAGTGCACTATTCACGTCGTCATAATTCGATACATTTCGGTCAACCTTAAAAATAAGCGATGTGTCGTCAGCATACAGTACAACATCACATAACTCACTGGCATAAAAGGGGAGATCATTTATATATACTAAGAATAATAATGGGCCCAAGATCGATCCTTGTGGGACACCCATTTTCATGGGGGACCCTGCGGAATTTACATCATTTATAGATACTTTTTGAATTCTATTATTAAGGTAAGAAGCAATGAGATTGAGGGCGATGTCACGAATGCCATAATAATCAAGCTTTAGAAGGAGGGTTTTGTGATCCACGCAGTCGAAAGCTTTTGAAAGGTCGCAAAAAACACCTATTGCATCTTGCGACCCTTCCCAGGCGTTATAAATATGTTTGACAAGTGCGATACCCGCATCTGTTGTCGATCTGCCTTTAGTGAATCCATATTGCTCATTGTGAAAAATTTTCTTCATATTAAAATGTACTAAGAGCTGATTTAAAATTAGTTTTTCAAAAATTTTACTCAGAGATGGCAATATGGAGATAGGTCTGTAGTTTCCTGGATCATTTTTATCCCCACTTTTGTAGACGGGGATTATCTTACTAAATTTCATAAGATCTGGAAATATTCCAGATTCTATGCAGTTGTTAAAAATATTAGCTAAATGTGGTGCTCTAGTGGGCGGCATCTCAGCAAATATTCTTACATACAACGCCCCTCTACTAATAAATAAAATATGATTGTAAGACACCTTTAGATTGGAGTGGACCTCCTTGACATGGGCTTCGCACTGTTTCTGCTTCCTGAAGGCCCTATCGCACTTCGGACAGTTGTACAACTCCAGCTTCTCCAGCGTCTCGTACAAGTCACCCTTGCCGTTGTCCTGTGGCATCTCCTTCTCCCCGGCCATTGTATATTGCACCTTATTGCTGTGGCACGTGAGCGTCTTCTCGCTCGACGTGTACAGGATGTGTTTGTCCATCGGCTGGTACATCGACTTTGGCACTGTGCTCTCCAAAGACAACTCTACCAGCGAGTCCGGCAGAGTTGCCACGTTGTCCACTATACAGGTGTTGGTCATCTGCAAACAGAGATATCTCTTTGAGTATTAAAGACTTGGTTAAATTAATGAATGTTATGTATCAATTCAAATATTACATTGGTCATTATTTTTAAATTTTTTTTTTTTTATGCGAAAAGTTGTCAAACGAGCAGACGGTTCACCTGATGTTAAGTGAATACCGCCGCCCATGGACATCTGCTACACTCGAGGATTACAGATGCGTTGACAACCTTTTGAAAATTGGGCTCCGGCTACCTCACTCACCAGACGAAACGCGAAAGTATTTCTCATACTTCCACTTTACGCTGGTCTTCTGTGAGGTCGTGGTACTTACCCGGACGGGCCTGCCCATTCGTGCAACAGCCGAGGCTGCTGCGTGGCCCTACCACCGTAGGGCCGTTTTTAAATCAATATTTGCCTCCTATAGCTATATCCAATAACATTTATCAATATTTTTTTCCCTATGGTTATGTAGTAGGCTCATAGAGTGGGGTTGCGACGAATATTCGGCCACTGTTCTGCCGAATATCGAATACCTAGTTTTCGAGAATATCAATGATAAAATTGAAAGGAACAACGATCGCAATACATCTGTAAATTAGGCAAGGAAAGTATAATACATACTCTCACACTAAAGAATAGGCCAATTAAAAGGCACGACTGTAGTTGGTGCATTACGTGTGACAACTTGAATGTCTTTTCTTATTACAAATACATGTTTCACCAGGCCAAATATTCGACAGGACGGTCGAAAATTCGGTGTTCGGGAGTAACAAGTCTACTCTAAATTTTTTTTCCCTTGTCTTTACTGTAGGATAACATTATCCTGGGTTGTAAGAGGAAGTTATACAAACAATTATCAACTACAACAACTATAAAACAAATAGAGGAAATCATCAATAGACTTCTTCTATTTATTTTATAACGTAAGTGGTCTTGATTACCTACTAAAAGAGATAATCAAATTTATAATTAAATATTTGGAAAAACACCTTGTCAATGCCTAAATCAGGCACAGGATTCTCAATGATAATGGTCCCGTGTGGTTCGTAGTGCTGTTTTAGATGCTGGAAGAACTTCAGCTGCTCCTCCCCGTAGAATTCCCCACATAGTTGGCATAGTAATATTGGACGCACCTAAAAAAATGTATTTTAAACTTTATCGCTTGGGGTACTCCCCACATAACTTGTAAAGGGTAGTGTTAATTCAACAATAATTAACTATTTTTTGAAAACCCAATTGGCGTAATAAAACTATTGCGTGAATAACGTAGGGTCAGTATATTAAATAGCATCCCTAATATATTAAATCTGCGATGTCATCGGACTAACCCGACGGCACATATTTCTACTTTATTACGAAATTATCATCGACAGACCCTTCTATCTTCAAACATATATTTTAATAAGTATTGTTTTTTTTTTGGAAGCCACTTTGTTTCTTTGTACATCATATGGTTGGTACAACATTTGATCATGTTGTAAGCGGTTTTGGCTATGTTTTTTAAAACCGGCCCGCCAGCCTGACGTCAAAAAGTAAAACTTGTAAAACGTGTATATTATGATGAGTATGAAAAAAATCTTAGTTTAGCAAGAGTTTCTTAGACGAACAAAGCAAACAGGCAGTGAAAGTGACGAAGAAAGAAGTAGGAAGTAGATAAATACAAGCGAGCTTACTTCGTGTGTGATGTGATGTGTGTCGCTAGAAAGGTGTTCCGTATGGGGAACGCTATTCACAAAGTTGTCCGGAAGGATCTGCTCATTGGGTACCTCAGCATTGCAATGGATCACCACTATGTCCTGCAAAGGAGTTCACTTTAAAGAGGAAATGAGTGGCTCAACTATATATATATAACAGTTGGAAAAGTTAAAAACAGATGCAGAAACAAGTTGTAAGTCCAGCAATGGATTATGGAACTCGGATATCATTAACCTTCTTCATTAGAATTAAATGATGCGAGTGTATTTAAAGCAAAGTTACATTACCTCAGATTTTTTTTATTATTATACGAAATATACCGATTTCCTAAAGATGTTTTCCTTCACAGTGAGCAGTTATAAATCAGCACTTAAAACTAACAATTTCAATGGTACTGGCATTGAGATTTGTGCTCAGGTTGCTCGCGTATATTGAATTTGATTTAAAGGCGAGCGCCCCGACATGAGCTATCACAATTAGTGTATTTGTTGAACTCATTCTACAGGGAGGCTCCCTGTAGAATGAGTTCAATCCTGTGATGTAAGGTAGTTGTACAAACATAAATTTCACGTGGACAAACACCCAGATGTGAAACATCTATTTGTGCGACCCACAGCTGTGGGTTGTCCCGTATGGGAATCGAACCCACAACCCCCCACACCAAAGCCAAATACCTTCTTACCACGGAGTTATTAGGAGGAATTACTAGTAAGTACTTAAGTAATATTCACAGTCACTATTCGTAACAATTGCTTTATTAATTTACAGTATTTTTATGTGTGTGTAGTAATTCAAGAAATCATTATTATGAGATTCTGTTAAACCAAGTTAAAATCTAGTTTACAAAAAAGATATAGTTTTTATAATGAAAAGCCTAGGCAATATACTCATGTAAGAAAATTTAAAATATCTTTAATGACAAAAAGAATTACAGTTAAGTACATTGAGGGTTAGCACAACACTAGGCATAAAGAAAAACTAATATTTTAACTCACTTGTTGCGGTGTGCTACTGCCAGTGTTTTTCTTTAGTTTTCTTGATATCCTCTTCTTGTGGGGCAGACTCTTTTTACTGTGCTGCTTATTCTGTACTGGGGAGGCACTGGCAGCAATATCCAACACCGAGCCATCTTGCTCAGTTAACAGTTGATCATCGTCCTGTGAAAGTAATATTTCAATTTAATATGTTAATTACATTAATGTCTATATGTAAATTGTTTGGTTGTGCCTTAGTTGCCCTGCGGGTTTTGGCATTTTTCATCCGTTTTACTTGAAAATTCGTAGATGTTTTTGCGCTTTAAACTTTATGATAAAGTACCCTTCTCGTACAAGGGACTTCTCGTGTGGTATCGGATAAGAGAATCAGTCATTGATAGGGATGAAATTACACAAATTAGGTACAGATGATGTAAGCGATTTTAGACAGCCAACTATATAAACACAAATGATATAGCCCTTAGCAGAAGTTACATAAGGAGAGTTTATTGCATGCAAGTGCAATAACCTATAGGTCGTGCATATATCATTTCAGGACAGTCAAACCTGCGACCCTCGGTGGCGATTGCTTATCTCTTCGTAATTCAGCAAACCGTGTCATCATATTATAATTTTTTTATGTGAGAAGGTGTCAAGCTGGCTGGCTGTTATCCTGATCTTAAGAGATAACCACCACTAGTGGACATTTGCAACACCCATAGAGTTACAGATGTGTTATCGCCTTTAAGTTATAAAGTGGGTCCCGGCTAGCTCTTTCATGAAACGAAAAGAAGAAGTAGCTTCACGCTAGCCTTCCGTGAGGTCGTGGTACTTACTCAGACGGACCTGCCCTTTCGTGCAACACCGAAAACTGTTAGCGTGGCCCTACCACTGTTAAGTAAAATATTAACCAACCAACCAATTACATCAAACTATTACAATACTTAAATATGTTCTTTTAAGCTTAGAAAGTGTGATGTTAAGTAAAATAAATAATGAAAATCACCTTTAACGGAGCTTTAGTCTTATTCGTAAACCAATCTGTCTCCTGGCACCGCTTCATGTCTTGCAGTGGTGGCAGTGGTTGAGAGACTTGTACCACAATTGGTTCCGATGGATGGTCCTATTTCAAAATTTGAGATCGAAAGTTTAATTTGAAACGAAACAGTAAAATAATTTTTTCAATATTTCATATATATTTTTTATGAGAAAAGCTGTCTAGCGATCAGGTGGTTCACCTGATGTTAAGTGATTATCGCCGCCTCTGGACATCTACAATACTTGACAGCCTGCAGATGCGTTGACAACCTCTATAATAAGTGGTTCTCGTTTACCTCACTCACCAGACGAAACGCAAAAGTATAAGAAGACCAAGGGGTTGTACTACTTGGTTTTCTGTAAGTCCATGATACCTTCTCGGACGAGCCTAACTACCATGGTAAACATATAATAAATTAGCTGTAATATATTTATCCTTAAAATATAGTGAGCATATATTATGGTGCGACAATATATTTTAACTTAATTATACAGCTATGCCAGTAAATCAGTAAATAATAGTTGAAATATTGAAATGAAATTTTAAAACGTTTAACTAATGCTTTTGGGCATATTTAAGAAATTTTATTATGCAATTTAGTCAACCAACTACCTAAATAATTGAATTCAAACAAAATAAATGGTGTATATTGCAATAGTTATATTAATTAGCATAAATAGAATCATTTTTCAAAAAGAAATGTCCTAATAATACTAATAAAACATATAGGATATACACATACCAAAGGTTGCCCGCCATTGTACAGTCTCAACGGTGTGTCTAAAATAACTGATGTGTCTACATCGTTCCTAACTGCAGGCACCTGGAAATTTGTATTACGTAAGGTACAAAAATATTAAGGTAGTTATATTAAACTACATTATATAGCTTTTAATGTGTGTTCTCTATTTGTCCCCTCATATGTACAGGCAACAACTGAATGGAGTGAAATACTATAAATTCATCATAAGGGAAAAGGTTGAACTCAGGTGAGTTACCTGTTGCTAAGTATTTTCCGCTTCCTATGGAAATCTACAAAACCCATAAGGTATGGTGTCATAAAAATACGGTAACCTCACCTTGTGATGTGACGGGTGATGTGATATACGCGAATGTTGGGACAGGTGTGCTACTATTGCAGCAAGCCTTCCTTCAGGGTCGAGCAGCTCCTCATTCCATTGTCCTTCACTGACTTGATCATTTGTGGACACTTGCCTTTTGAATTTAAACAACATTTAAATTTCAACTTTTAAATAACAATGAAACAACTTTTAGATAACATGGGTAGGGATGGATAATGCCTAACTAAAATTATTGTGGATTATTTCGATTTAACTGTGGTAGGACCACACAATGGTATTCACTGTTGCACAAATGGGCAGGTCCGTCCGGGTAATTACTACGACCTCACAGAAGACCGGCGTAAAGTAGAAGTGTTAAGCTTATGCGTTTCGTCTGGTGAGTGAGGTAGCCGGGGCCCACATTATTTAAAGGTGGCAAATGGGTGTTGCAAATGTCCATGGGCGGCGGTTATCACTCAAAATCAGGTGAACCGCCAGCTTGTTTGCCACTTTTTCATATAAAAAAAAAATGTTGCCCGTTATTTTAGAATAAAAGTCCTGAACTCAATAAATAACATGTAAGTAAGTTTTTGGTTTCAAAACTTTGATTTCAACAATAATCCTGTTACCGATCGGCGACAAAAGTCGAAAATGATGATTGGAGATGATTCTAACCTCATTTTGTGTTGGAATTAGCAGCAGCCCTCAACGTGAGTTAAGGTTTAAGACACTTATTTTCTCAAAAGATTTACAAAAAGAATCACTTACAGAGAAAATACAAAAAAATACAGTACAAAACTTTCCCACTTGTCATAGCTAGTGGTTTAGTTACTGATAAACAATATTGAATTATTTATGACAAATTGGATTGGTTAAAAAGTTTGGAGAATGGATTCCAAATTTTTTAAAGCATTGTTAACATATTAGATTTATATTTGTCCACAGAGGAGAATTTATTGGAGCTGAGAAATAGTTTTTTAATTAATTAATGTTGGTTATCCTCTGCTAGCCCTCTGTTTAAATTAGCAAGTTTTGTAATCAGTTTCTATTTAGATAAAAAAGTCTTGTAAATAACTACAGGACAGATTATAAGATAAAAACCCATTAATAACCAAACTCAAAGTTGTCAATTAAATAAATTTAATGCAATTGCTGTGTTCCTTATGTTGGTCAAATGGAGTATTATTACAGTACTCTTACGGTATAATTAACATGAGAAAGTAAGAATGCATTTCAATGAATTTTGTTTAGAGCCCAAGATGAAGCTTGTTGCAGTGATTGAAAGGATAGTTCCAAATAATTTAGAAGTAAGCAATATTTAGCAAAGGTACTTTGGGTATTATCCCATCAATATTTTTCACCAAACACAAACTTATTGTCCAAAGGTACGACATAATTACTTATAAATAAAAATACGTAATATTTATTTATCTAATATTTGAAAGATTTAATCAATCTAAAATTATTACATATTATCTAATAAACCTAATCCACGCTGCATGATGCCAAGAACGCTAGTTGCATTTCCTCACTGAATAGTTATGCTTGACCTTTGAGCGAGAAAAGAACCAGCTCTCTTGTCACCAGCCGCAGTGTTAAAGTATATATTATAAATTAAGCTCAACAGTTATTTATTTCAAATCAAATAGTTTAGGTTTTTAAGGAGTACATATTCGTATATTAAGGAGTTTATAAGCATAGGCAGGATTGGATAATCCCAAAGCACAATATATAAAAAAATCATAGTAAAATAATATAGGCTCAGCATGATTAAGAACAAAATTTAATTCGCTGCAGTAAACTAATATACTTTACATACTATGAATAATATGTTGCTTAGCTCAGTATTTTATTATCATACGCAAAAGTAAGCAGGGAATATAAAAAACAAATATTCCATAGTTATTCTTGATAAAGACTACTTTGTATAAACATTAAATATAGTGTTTTCTCATAATGTACTTTAGAAATTTATTCTAAAGTACATTATTGTTATTATTATAACTGAAAAAAACTTGAGCAAGAGTAGTGTACTCAATACATTTAGCCGTGATTATCTGGGCTGTTGATTTTAATAAATTTTACTCCAGCAACCTGAGATCGAACCCAGTGCCAAAACCAATGAAATTATAAATTTTGACTGCTTATTTGACATATACTCAGCGGTGAAGGAGAGGAAGGGAGAGAATTGAGAGGAAACCTTCATATTTTGGTAATAACAATGAGGATATGTGAAGGCTGCCAATCTGTTAGGCCACATGTTGGACTCCCATAACCTCTGTACAGAGGAGGCCTTTGCCTAGCAGTGGGAGATATATTTATACATAGGCTGTTACTTTACTTTACCTTTAAATATAAGGAAATAAAACAAAGAATTATTTCTGAGAGTATGAGTAAAAAACAAGAAGCAAGTAACCAAATAACAAATGTTTTTTTTTAAAACATTAAGTAAAGGAGTAAAACCACCTGATGCTTATTAATCACCACCACCTATTGACCTGATTTGCATGACCAGTGAACCTTGTCTGTATGACAAATGTGCAGGCGAACTTAAAGAATCTGAATTTCTCACCTGCACATCTGTGTCGTAGAGAAACTAAGCGGCTGCATTACTGTTACGACTCTTCCACTATTATCGTCTTGTACATTCAGTGCTAGGGAACTCGCATCTACATGTACAGGCTGTGGAAGAAAAATATACATGATATGCATTTACATATATCAAATGAATTTTAGCATCATATGAGATTTATTTTAAAAAGCGAAAGGCAGTATTTAAAAACTTATCAACAAAAAATTTATGAACAAAAAATTGAAACTATTTTGATACGTCGAGTAAGAAAATAAAAAGCTACAAAAATCTTTCTCGTACCTCAGTCTGGTGCGAATTGATGTAATGCGTGACGGCGTCATCCATTTTATCTTCTAGAAGATGAGAGCCTACGGTCCTCATTATGAAAAATCACAGATTTTTCCTTTATATCGTTATTTTCCTGGCTTTTGCATATTCCTTGACAGCTGTTAATGTGCACGGTTACTTTTGTTTAAAAATTACTCAAAAAACTACATGTAAAAATATTTGATCAGAATTGAACGATGATCAAAAGTAACATTAATTTATATGGTAATCTATATTCTAATCCATTTTTTTTCTAAATCTAATATTCTAGGGATAAGATTCATCAGCACTTTTGTGTTGCCATACTTGTAATTGTAAAACTAAAAAAGTTAAAAGATGTTAAAGATTAAAGATGCTAGTACGACAGATGTTAAAGGTAAAAATATTTTACAGATATTTAGATAAACATAGTCTCCATGGTGTATCTTGTCAAAAAAGTGCTAGCCGGATTTCTCGCCACGGTTCCCTGAACGACGTCCTCCGTAGAGTGTTTGTTGCCATCAATGTAACTTTTATTTTAAGCTCTGTGGTATTTTCCGCGACTATAGCAAGAGACCCGATGGCTTGACTTTGATTCCTTGGGAGAGATACAAAGCCCTCGTTTGGGATGTACTTGTGTAGAGACTTTAGGTGTCTCTCATATAATAGGTACTTCGGCGGCGTCGGAGGCAGCTGAGGTGGCAACAATATTAGTCCCTTTGTTCAGACCATATATTTGTGCTATTTGCTATATTGAAACTGTAGGAGTATGTGGTCCCCTTAAATTGTATTTTTTTTAAGTTTACGTCTTAGGCTTATCGCTGCGGCAGTATAACTATTCAAAGGAGGAAATGCAGCTATCGTTCTTGGCAATATGTAATTTAGTTAGATTAACGCCCGGTTTCTGAAACACTAATCATCGTAGATGTGAACTAATCAGCTGTCAAATGGATTTCAAATTACAATTTAGGTACTAGGTTTATGATCAGAATGATCAATTCAAAGAGTTTAAACATCCTTTTGGCAACTAAAATGAAATTTGAAATTCATTTGACAGCTGATTAGTTGACATCTACGTTGATCAGTGTTTCAGAAACCGGGCGTTACTGTTGTAAATATTGGATATAATAAATATCCTTATATAATTTTTTACAGAAATTATCTACTGATGCAATAACTGAAGTAAACTTACATTTGTGTGCGATAGCATTTGCGTGGTATTAGCATCCGTACCTAAAACTATTTAATGAGAAAATTGTTCTATTGACTAAAATTTGTTCTAAGACTCATTAAAACTTGCATCAATAATTATGACAATTGTGGTTAACTTAGAGTCTGTAGAGTAAATCGTGTATCACCTTACTTAATTCGTTGATTTAATATAGAGAAAGATAGTTTGGAAGCCGGCAGAAGGGAATATTTAAGGTGCAGTACAAAGAACAAGGTGAGTGAACCACAATTTTGTATTTTCACACGTTGCTATAGTTATTTATCAACATAAGGATATTGCTAGATCAGATGAGAGTTAAGGTGTACAAGATAAAATCGGTCCTACACTATAGCAAATGATTAGCCACACTAGTATTTAAATGTTTAGTACTTGTTATTTAAGTGTCCTCATTGTAATTTTTAGGTCTTAATAACTTCATCAAAATTTGGTACGTCTGTTTATCTTTTTTGACCCGAATGGCGTAGTGCATAGTGAGTTTTCTGCGTCAGAGGGCGTAGGTTAAATTCCCACTACTGGAAAAATATTGTGTGATGAAAATAGTGTTTTTCTAGTGTCTGTTTATGTATATATAATATGTATTTATTTACAAAAGAAAAGTATGTTTATCAGTTATCTAGTACCCATAGTTCAAGTGTTGCTTAGTTTGGATCTAGAGAACGTTGTGTAACAATGTTATTTATTTTTACTTGGTTGAAGTTGTTTGAAACAATTTCGAGAAAATTTCGATATAAAAAAATCTTTGTCTTTTGTCATTGTTAAAATAGTAAAAATGAAACATATGACAATGACAATTGAACAAATGTCAATGTCAGACAAGGTTCTATTTTGTCTCAATGGAATACCAAAAATGTTTCGTAATAGTTTAAAATTAAATATAATCATCAAAAATCATGAGGTAAGAGTATTCTTATATTACTTAAAAGGAATAGGTACGTCTCAGTATAAATATTTTCATTGTTACGATTTTGCGTGGACTTAATATTTCATAAAATATTTTAATACATTGATATTTTATGAAACTAAGTTATCTTAATACATCTAACAAAAGGTCATAAAAGATGGTCTTAAATATTAATATATTTGTAACATAAGTACCTTTATCATTCTTTCATCATTAAATGAATTGTTTACAATCTTTATTGATCTAATATTTACAAGATTAAATCTATCTAAAATTACATATTATCTAACAAAAGTAATTAAAAGCTCCGTGACTTACATTTTTATATGAATTTTCATGATATATACTCATCATATATTCATGATATGTATTATTGTCATTATAGTTATAGAACTCCATATTTTACATATTGCTTTTCCAGTATTTTGTAAGGAATTCATATGCACACCTTTTTTTGAAAAAAATGTTCAAGATATGTAACAATTATGGAACATTTGAACTACACTTTTTTTATTTGAATTATTGCTTGTTACCAGTAGAAATTATTACAAGATGTCAATTAGTTAAGTTGTATGGTAATACATTACGTACATATTCATTGAGGTCACAAACCAAGGATTGTATTGCTTAATTGGCTTTGATAAGAGTTTATCAAAACAAATGTTTCTCAACCTTAACCTATGAATGGTTTTATTACACATAGTAAAATAAAATTTTGTAATAGTGCATACAGACTTGTAATTTTTATTGGAGTATTTTAATATGAATCCTTTCCTTTTACCTTTTTGTATAAGGTGGTTTGTTATTTCTGTTTTGGTAGATTCTTTACCAAACAATAACATATTAGTGAAAAATCACAGATTAAAAATCTGATTCTGCTTATCAGATTTTTAACTACGTATCTGCATATCCTATAAATATTATATACTTTATAAATGTCTAGATTTTATGCATTTGATAGCTATTTGTAATATCTTTTTTAGTTGCAAAGAGGCAAACATACAAGTAAGTTGGATGCCATCAGAGAAAAGTTCAGGGAAGGTCCTGGCCTTGCTGATTTCATTTCTGAAGAGAGACCGAAAAACTGGGACGACTATGAGGGGAAATTAAAACGTGAAAAGGGAGATACGGAAAGATTGAGGCTACCTCCATGGTTAAAAACATCTATACCAAGTGGTTTGTAATATTTAATATACTTAAGTTGTTTAAGCAGTTGTTATTGGCGAATTTCCTCGTTCCGGATTTTGTTACGCAAAGAAACTCCGAACATAGTTCTCCCCATAGCTCCTTGTGTGACCCTGAACTTCTCCAAAACCCCAGCTTTTGAAGAACATTACAAAGACCAGACATCTAATTCATTGTGAAAAGCCTGATATTATATACACTTGCAAAATGACAAAGGTATGATATGATGAACTTAAGAGACGGATTGAGAAAAGGAGTTGACAACCAATAAATTACACAGATTAATTAAGTAATTTCCACTGACAATGACTGTCTTTTACTTAATTGTTTACAGTTCCTATAAAGGCTAACAGGCAATGCAATTTAAGCATTCTACCAATATTGTTTAGGTTCAAAATTCAGCGCTCTGAAGGAGCAGCTACGTGGACTGAAGCTCAGCACGGTGTGCGAGGAGGCACGTTGCCCGAACATCGGCGAGTGCTGGAGCGGCGGCAAGCATGGAACGTCCACGGCGACTATTATGGTAAGAAATTGAAACACGTCTCTTGAAAAAGGCTTAGTAGTGCACAGGGGAGAAAATATAGTAACAGCTTTTGTTATTATATATTTTTATGTTAGAAGGTGGCAAATGAGCTGACGGTTCATGTTAAGTGATAGATGCAACACCCGTAGGGTTGCAGATGCTTTGCCACCTTTTAATAAAGTGGGCTCCGGTTACCCCACTCACCAGACAGACGCGGAAGAGTAACCACTTCCACTTCACGCCGCGCTTCTGTGAGATTGTTGTACCTCTCCGGACGGACCTGCCCATTTGTGCACAGCAAAGACTTGCTTGGTCCTATCATAGTTAAGGCTAATATAAATGTTCTAGAGGAGCACTTGAGTTTCATTCGTGCAGGCACCGGGGATAGAACTTGCTCGAGTATAGTAATTCAAAAGCGACCGCCCGGACCCTGTGGCTATCAGCTCTCGAACTAAGGAATATATATCATTAATTTTAAATATACGATTGTACTTTAACGTACTGGGGTTTAATGACTCAGTGGCGCCGTTGCTAAGCTATTGGGTTCGGCGTCGGGGGTCGTGGGTTCGATTACCACACGGGACAAGTGTTTGTGTGACCCACAGATGATTGTTCCGGATCTGGGTGTATGTTTCCCAAGGAGGTTTGACGTCAGGCAGGCGGCCGGCCGTAAAAGACATAGCCAATATCGCTACTACATGATTCACTTGTGCCGACCTCACCCAGGTGGGATAAGGGCGGGAGGATGGTGATTTTTACGTACTGGGATGTGAGTCGTGCTCTCTCTGTCCAGTTAATGGGCGACACGTGCACGCGGGGCTGCATGTTCTGTTCCGTGAAGACCTCTAGGGCTCCGCCCCCGTTGGACCCCGAGGAGCCCCGGAACACCGCCACGGCCGTGGCCCAGTGGGGCCTCGGCTACATAGTCCTGACCAGCGTCGACAGGGACGGTGAGACACCACACTTTTGCGTAGCGTTTGTATTAATGACCCGCTTTTGTACAAACTGCGGACTTCTTCAACCATAGCTGGCGTGAAGCACCGACGGTTTGTTTGTCATGTTTTAGACCGCCCCAACCGCTACATTAGATTTGATCAGCTGAAAATCCTCGCAAAATAACACCGATTCCTTCCAAAGATGATCCGCGAGGCTATTGAGTAAAACAACATCCTAATTTCAATAGAGAAGATGGTTGGTATTTATCATCTGCTTGGGATCCCATAGGTTATAAAGTTAAATCCAGGCACGCCAATACTGTTAGAACTCAAGATACCATAAGCTCCTTTTGCGTAGAACGGGATAAAAATAAACGACGGTACTCAGATGTGTGTGACCCAACAGAGATAATAATTTTCCGGATCGGTTGTTTATTACCAAGGAGGGTAGACTTCAGGCGAACGGGCGGAAAAGAGTATTACGGCCGGTTTCAATATTCGATCTACGGATAGATTTGGTTACTGGAGATATAATTTCAACTAAGTATTATTGAGCTAATGTCAAATACCTATCGCTAGTAACAGGCTAACAGAATCTATTTATATATAAAGAATATTGAAATTGGCCGTTAGTTATGTTGAAGCAAAACCTTATTAAAAAGTAATTAAGTAAAAAGTACTTAAAAAAACGTGTCTTCTCCAACAGATCTAACGGACGGGGGGTCCTCGCACATTGCAGAAACCGTTATAGAAATAAAAAGACAGTGAGTATCTTAAAAGTGATAAATATAACTCATATGACTAGAGACAATCAACCCATGTTAAATACTGATATTTTCACAAAATTTTAATAAATTCAAACTTTTGAGTGCCCATCAAATTTCAATGGATTTTAGTTTCTTTTTTATGCTAGAAAGTGGAAATCAAGTAGGCGGTTAAGTTATAACCGCCGCCCATCGACATGTACTACACCCGTAGGGTTGTAGAAGGACGATAGGTTGCATTGCCACCTCTCTATAAAGTGGCTCCGGCTACCTCACTCACCAGACGACGTACTAATTACTAGCTATGCCCGCAACGTCGTCCAACGTGTAAGTAAAAATAAATCAAATTTCTATAAAAGTAGTATAAGCTACTCCTTATTACATCAGCTATTTGCCAGTGAGTCTCGTTATACTCGGTCCAGCCGTTTCAGTGATCAGGTGGAACAAACAGACAGACATACGGACAAAAATTGTAAAAACTGTCATTTTGGTATATATACCGTGTAAACATATGGATATATACACGGTAAATATGCCAAAATAACAAACAATGCATATGGATGCATTTAGTAAGAGCAGTTATTTTAATATTAAAAACAGAGACTCCAACTTTATTTATATGTATAGAGTTAATGATACCTCTTCACGCTGGTCTTCTTACTTCCAATGCAAAATTTTTGATTTGATTGAATTGAATCTATCGAAGTGAGCGATTGTTAAGCCGTGATAGCTCAGTGTCCGGGCGCTCGCCTTTAATTCAATATACTCGAGCAACCTGAGTTCGATCCCTGGTGCGGGACCAATGAAGTTTTTAATTTTAAGTGCTGATTTATCACGTGCTCCGCGGTGAAGGAAAACTTCGTGAGGAAACCTGTTTATGTTCGAAACAATGCCAAAAAAAAATATATTTCGAAAATATGTGAAGTCCGCCAATCCGCAGTGGGGCCGCGTGGTGGACTATGCCCTGATACCCTCTTTATAGAGGAGGCCTTTGCCCAGCAGTGGGCCATGTATAGGCTGTTACTATCGAAGTGTGCGCCCGAGTTGAGTGTGTGACTCCGCGTTGCAGGAACAGCGAGATCCTGGTGGAGTGCCTGGTGCCGGACTTCCGCGGGAGCAGGCGCTGCGTGGAGACCATAGCCGACAGCGGCCTGGACGTCTTCGCCCACAACATCGAGACGGTCGAGAGGCTAACTCCGTTCGTGAGGGATCGCAGGGCTGGGTGAGGAATCGCCGCGTTTCGTGGCGTCATCACGTCGGTCGTGACGTCTTCGATACAAACTAGCAGACCGAACAAACATTGTCCTGTACACACGACTTAAATCCGTCACCAGCTTATAAATTATTAAAAAAAATACCGGACCTAATTGTGAATCTAAACCATTCTCGAATCGACCTGAAGGCACACAAAAAATTTTATTAAAAATTAGTTCAGTGACCTATACATGTACCAAAGAATGATATATATATATAAATATATATATAAAGATATGAGGTAGATATGACATTAGGGCAGCGAAACTCAGATTACCCCAATTGGTGTAATTAGATTTCAATTCTATAGACTGCTATCTCTTTCCGTATCATGCATTCTTTATCATCGGTCATATTAACTTATGTAGGTATGCCATATAATGTAAACGGGAACAATTTTTAAACGCCGCGCAGTATGGACATGCGTCATCTATATTATTAAACATCATTGACCGTGGCAGCATGTCGAATTTGCCACGTTGTGGCCAATTGAAAAGAAGGCCAAATGAAAGTTGTCGCTTTCCTACATTGGGGTGCATTTTAATCGGTAGATTACTACAATAAAAGCAGCCGGGGTCTGGCTATGCCCCGCGAGCGAAATGAACCCTCATTCAATTATAATTAACACAAATAATTAGTTATAATTAACAATTAAAATTGCACTGAAGTAGTTGGTATACACTCAAATATTTATTTATTCATAACCGTTCCCTACTTAGTACTAATCTCCAAAAGAGGCAATGCTATCGGATTGTAGAGTTGATGTTGTAAATTGCTGTCGTCTTTCAGTTACCGCCAGACCCTGAAGGTGCTGGAGACGGCCAAGGAGGTGAACCCCGACCTGATCACGAAGTCCTCCATCATGCTTGGCCTCGGGGAGACAGATGAGCAGGTCGAGCAGACCATGAAAGGTACAGTAGTTTTGTCCTCCATATTATGTTGTTTTAAGCATTAGTAATATACATTAACACTGATGAATAAAAACTAAGGAAAATCCCTTTCAGGTAAATTCCTTAGTTTGTATGTGTTATCTTAGTTATCTTTATTCATGAAAAATATCACATTAAAGAATACATGACATTAAATGTAATCAATAATGGCTATAACTTGGAATAATAGGTAAATGTCATAAGTTGTTAGTGGTTGCCATCGTAATACAGTTTCAATCAACTTCATCATGTCGTTTTTTGGAAGTAAAATACCGACCTCCGTGGGCGAGTATCGTAAAAATGAAATAATCATTAATGATAATGAAATGTACATGGTAATGAAATAATCATTAATACAGGGAGGCTTTTTTAAGTGTATCCCATTTTTTTATTAAATTCTAAATATAAATAAAGTTATATACAAATGATAAATATACAAAAACACCTGTAATTAATTGATTATATTCATTTGAATTTATCTCAGAAAGTGCGATGAACTTATCATAGAAGTTCGCACGCATTTATGAATGGTCACCGCATTTTCAACAACTTCTGTTTTCTAAGGCAATGTTTTTTTGAAAAAAAAAAGTTTGTTTTTATTTCACTAAACGATTATACTACCGAGTCTGAACCTCCTGTGTGAATTTGGGCACCTTTAGAAAAGCCGCCCTGTATAGTCCCTAGTAGTAAAGGCCCTAATATTCACATCGGCGGAACGCCACCAGACCTCCGCGCGGCCGGCGTGGACTGCCTCACCCTGGGCCAGTACATGCAGCCCACGAAGCGGCACCTGAAGGTGGCGGAGTACGTGACCCCCGAGCGGTTCCAGCGCTGGGAAAGCGTGGGCGTGGGCCTGGGCTTCCTGTACACCGCCAGCGGGCCGTTGGTGCGCTCCTCGTACCGAGCCGGCGAGTTCTTCATCAGCAGCCTTCTTCGCCAGAAGCGCTCCGGCACGGCCTGATGCTCTGGACCCCGGAAGCCAAAGCCAACGAGCGAAATGATGTGATGCCTTCTTGTACCAATGACGACCCGATCAGCGTAGTGGCTAGTAAACCTGCCTCTTGCAGAGGGTGTGGGTTCGATCCCCAGTTCTGGAAGAATGTTGTGTGACGGACATGGTGTTTTTCCAGTGTCTGGGTTTTTATGTATGTATTTATTTACAAAAGAAAATTATGCTTGAGTACGTTTATCAGTTTTATAGTATCCACAGTAAACGCGTTGCTTAGTTTGAGATTAAAGGACGTTTTGTAAGAATTTGTCCTAAAATTTACGAGATTACACATTATAAATGGAACAATTTTTTCTATTTATCGCGTTTGTTTTGAATTGCCCGACGTCAGACGACAGACCTCTGTCCACAGACTCTGTAACATTAAATGGTTCGAAACGTCGGAAATAAAAAATTTAAAATAAAAGCAAAATATCCGTGGAAACAGTTTCATTTATAACCGAAATCATATTCAACACCATCAAGGACTACGACCATCAAAGTCTCCAAGAAGCGAAATAGTATTTAGCATCACCACTTTATCAGCAGCTTGCTAGACTAGAGGGACCCCGGGTGGCTTGATGCATGAGGACTTCAGCGAGTCCCAAAACAACAATAATTGAAACGATGTACAACATCACTGTTGAAACTATATAATTTAACATCTTTATTTGCAACGGCTGATTAACAATAAGGAAATACTATTATATAAGCAAATAGTTTTATGGACCCAAAGTTATCTAATAAACGGTTAAAATCCTCTTTAAGGAAGAACAACCTCCATGCTATTTTGGTCCAGGGAAAAAGTCACAATGTTATCAAGAATTGTGCGAGTTAGCTTACAAAAATGGGCTGTGAATGGCTATTTTCTTATATAACAATGAATGGTTCAAAATGGTATATTTTATATGTGAATATTTATGTATTAGGCCACTTGTTTATGATCTGTTATTGTGTAATTTAATTGGTTTATGCAATAAATGTGTTGTTGTGTTCACTTTTGTTTTATTAAAATCTATTGAATTGCTGAACATTATCCTTTTTATGATCCACTCCCTTGCTGTAGGTTTCGACAATCTTTGGGGCCGGATACGTCAATAAAACATCCCTTCAGGCCCCTTTATCTAGTTTCTTTTCTAGCCACAAATCTTTAGACTCGTAATAATTCGCGCAACATCCAATAGATGGCGTTTAGCTGCATTTACACGCAAAACTACGATAAGCACTTTTTTTAAACTATGGCTATCATCGTCATTAAATTCATATTTAATGCCGATGATAAATACGGCTCGAAAACACCTCTAGCAACTGCACTAAATGCTTACAACATTCTCTTACAGTAATGTGATGTAGATATTAAGTATTCTAAAAAACTACATTTATTTAAGAATGAAATATTTAAAAACCTCAAATATTTATAACTTTATATTATTTTAACAATTATCTATTGCTAATTTAAATCTATAAATTTCTTAGTTCCTTTTTCTGAGATAAAAGAGATTTTTCTTAGTTAAGTTTCTGTTCTCTGATTCAAGTTCAAGCGATAGCGCAACACTAATACGTCCCGCGGATCTCTTCCGCTGAAGCTTTCAAAGCCGCCGGGCTAATAGCAAACTACGTCACAAAACAAATTATGTTAATCACCGGTACGACTTACGGACGGTTTCAATATTGTATGTACAGATTAGATTTGGCTACTGGAGAAAAAATTTGAAATATGTTTTTTAATTATTATTTCGAAATAGTGCATATTTCCTCACGCCGTTTGGCATCATCGCTGAGTGCGCTGTAAAACCACTATTAACAATTTCTTTGTAGCTGGGATTTGATGATAGAACCGGACCAAGCTTCCGGACACTGAGATGTCATGGCCTCGTTTTTTTTCATTTAAACTTGCATATTTACGGTATTTTTTCAGATGGAGCATTCATGTAAAACAAAACATAATTTGTCTTTACCACATTTCATACATTCATTTCCACTTTTACTCTTTAAATAATTTCTCTCTAATTCACAAATAGACACGATAAATTGCTGTTACTTGTGTAGGAAGAATTCTACCACCCAACTCTTACTTTATTCCATTACTGTTGTAAGAGTTTTTTATGTCTCCATTTGGGTAAATACGATCTGCATTTAAGTGTACGACGTAATGTGGCGTATTGAATATGCCACGTCCGATTTAAGCGTGGCTTAACGGTCTTCGTATCGCTGGGTGCTTGATGCACGTATGGTCAGCAAACGGCGTTGCCGCCTGGGCTTTCTGTGAGTCCGTGCGATTGTAATGTGGGGGCGGGGGCGAGGGGGAGGTAACGTTGAAATTCGTATTGGAAAAGCCACGAGGAAGCGAAGAGTGGTTATCATCGAGTCAAAATTCACACCAATCCTCATCACCAGGACTAAATCCGTGTAATTATTTGACGGTTTTCATTTCATGTAACCATCTCGAGTGGACGTATCCATCTTGTATTTTGAAGCGACTTCAAAAAAAGAAGAGAACTTTTCACTGAGTGAATCGATTTTGATGATTCTTTTTTTATTTGAAAGCTTCCCTGTGGTCCCACATTAATTTCATTGCTATTGGATCTTGGGCTCCGGAGATACTGATAATCAATTATGAAATGAATACAGAGCGTGATTTAAAGTCGGTTTTGTGTTTCGGTTAATAAAATTTTACTTGTTAATTCTAATTTCAATTATAGCTTTTTAAAATTCTTAACGTTCCCAAAAGTTATCTACATCCTCTAATCAGGAGGAGTAGGTAGCAAATGAGGGCTTGTGCAATAAAAAAACACAGCTGTTACGTTTGGTTTAAACAAGATTGAGGGATCGTAGCAGTGAAACGTTTTGAGGGTTTAAGATTCGTCTTCATCTGAATCCAGTCTATGAAACACGCGTTGCTATCATCCTAGGGTGTTCGTCAGACATTTAGATTCGTGGCTCGGTCGCCTCCCGATGTCCCCGTTCCCACATCAAGTATGCGCGGCTGTGAATTTTGATCGAGCCCGCCCGTACCCAAACATGTCCCGGTAAGCCGTTACACAGCCCACTTTATTGGTATTTTCCGCAACACGCCACCGGGCGCCCGAATTTATCGCATTCAGCCGATTTGATTTGCAGCCGGCCGACGTGCGTACACGCGCCCGTGAATTTATAATGCGGTCCACTGTTCGATTCCGGAGCAACAATGATACTCGCTTATAGTTTCGAGCCTTCTTATATTGTTAGGCCTACTAAGCGACATTTTCATCTTGCCCGCCAACGATATTATATACGAGGTAGATGTGACACTGGCGCACCGAAACTGAGGCACTCAAATTACACCAATTGGTGTAATTAGATTGCAATGGACGAAATTAAATTAAAATCTATATTTTTTCTTCCAATGTCTTTTAGTTACGCGCTATTTAAAAATAAAAACTATTTTATTATAAATCAAAGAGTGGGTAGTTAGTTAAATTGATATTATATCTAAGTCTAATAAAAGTTGTTTTAATTCTATTTGAAATTTCATCTTAATAAATATTTCGTTTAGGTCCATAAAAATGGGCTTTAGACTTTTGGTCTAAATCGTTTTATACGATGATTCGTTCCTGATTAAATATACGACTTTGGAACGGAATAAGTAAAAAGATTTGGGAAAATTTAATATTGTAAAGTCTTTACTTATCAATTAACAGCCTTTCCATAGTAACAGGCTCTGTATGCACCATTGCCGTGCAAAGGTTTCTTCTGTATAGAGCGTATTAGAGCATAGTCCACCACGCGGCCCACTGCGGATTGGGAGACTTCTCATATCAGTGGCTTTCTTTCCGGTTGTAGATGAATTTTGACAATCAATAAGCAAGCGTAATGCTTCTATATTACATAATGACATTTGAATTTATATTTGAACAGCTTTAAACAAAATAATATACCAACTTTTAACATCAATACATTATTTCTAATTGCGTTTCCATCTCGCCGAGTTGCTGTGCCCCTGGGCGGTAGCGGGGTCTATTTTAAAATATAATACGCTTTTATTTTTGGAAAATTCCGCGAGTGGCTCTGGGGAGAGAAAGCTAATTTCAATTTCATTTAGTTCTGGCGCGATTCCATGCACCGGTCATAGAACCAGCAACCCTATACACAAACAGACTGGACATGCCAAAAACTTAATGTTGTTTATGTATCTCGTTTTATTAAACGAATTAATAAATTGTTAGATTGGCCAGTTCAATTACCAAAGTGTAGTAGGAAATTTTGCCAAAAATTTGATTAGTTGATTTGACATACGATAAATGTTTAACCTGGTGAATGTGGTAACAGGAGATTTAGTATCCTTCTATTGCAGTTATTAATAGACGGCATACGACGAAGCCGTCTTTAGCCTCATCTGAAGATAAGTTATCACTATATTTCGTTCAAAAAAATGCAGACAAATGCAATTATAGTCATTTTAATAAAGAAAAATGAATGTTGGTAAGCGCATACCTCAAGAATGGCTGGATCAATTTGGTTATGTTCCTTAAGGTCCACGGAAGGTTTATTACTATATAAAAAAAGAATAAAAATTTCTGGCAGACAAGATACGAAACGAATTCGGCAGAGGACTAAAGTTACCGACATTGCGCGCATAATTAGCACGCTCAAGTGGAAGTGGGCTGGCCATGTCTCCAGACGTACTGTGGTCGGTGGAGCCGACACGTGTTAGAGTGGACACTACGGTTAGGAAAACGAAGTGTGGGACGGCCTGCAGCACGATGGACTGACGACTTAAGAAAGGCGGCGGGCAGCGGATGGGTGCGGGCTGCCCAGGACCGGGATAGTTGGCGCACTGAGGGGGAGCCTTATGTTCAGCAATGGACGGTTGATATTGATTGAAAAAAAGAAGTCTACCCGGACAGCCAGTCACAAATAAAATATTATAATAAACGTAATTCCATCACATGTAAGTATATTTATTTAAAGTTTCAATGATAAGGAATTCT